TAATATGTATTAAGGATTAAATCAGATTTATAGATTTGACAATTAGGTAAAAATAATATTGTGTCTTATATTTTGGATTTATTAATTGAGACAATATGTTACCAAAGTAATCTCTTTTGTGTAGATTAATTTATTTGAAAAATTGAGATGTGTGTGTTTGATTTTCATGCACATAATGGTCAGCCCAAAGGAAGGCTATTATTTGGCCGGAAATTAAACATGCTTGTGGTAATAAATATATAACAATTATTAGGTTTCTCATGTGAATGTTAAGTCGGTCCAAAGAAAGGCTTAATGTTTGACAGGATTTTATTGTTAATATTTGATTACTACACCAAGAGGACCACTTAGAAGTTAATTTTACAGTCCAAAGACTAAAAATTAATGTTGTGCTAAGTCTCTTGTGATGGGATGTGTTGTCAATATTTTAATCTGATTATTAAAGTTAAATTTTGGAATTAATTGTGAGCTTGTTTTGTTTGTTTGTGTTTTCTTCAGTGTTTACTTCTGCTAATGTGATATCTGCCAACATTAATACTATACCCATGCTTGATGGGACAAACTTTAAGAGTTGGAAAGAGAACATTATGATCGTTCTTGGTTGCATGGATCTAGACCTTGCTATTTGGGTTGAGCGTTCCGCTGCTCTTACGGATTCTAGTTCCTTTATTGAAAAGGAGAATATGGAGAAGTGGGAATGTTCAAATCGCATGAGTCTTTAAGATCATGAAACGTGCAATTCCAGAATCATTCAGGGGCACTATGTCAGAAGAGGATGATGTCAAATCGTTCCTTACAGAACTTGAAAAGTGTTTTGCTAAAAATAAAAAGGTAGAAATGAGTACTCTCTTGAGTAGTCTTGTTTCTCAAAAGTATAAAGGAACAGGGAAAATAAGGGAGTACATTATGGAAATGTCTCATATTGCTTCAAAATTAAAGGCACTAAAGTTAGAGTTGTCTGATGACTTGCTCTTGCATTTGGTTTTGATATCTCTTCCTAAACAGTTCAGTCAGTTTAAGGTCGGTTATAATTGTCAAAAGGAGAAATGGACTCTAAATGAACTCATTTCTCATTGTGTTTAAGAGGAAGAGAGATTGAAGCAAGAAAAGACAGAAAGTGCTCACTTGGCATCTTCCTCTAAGGATGACAAGAAAAGGAAGAAGGGTAAGGATGCGGTTCAGCAACCACAAAAGAAGCAACATAAGGAAGATAAGGCTGAATCAAAAGCATCTGGATGCTTCTTTTGTGGTGGGATGACTCACAAGAAGAAACAATGCACTAAGTACCACGCATGGCGTGCGAAAAAGGGTATGTTTCTTTCTTTTGTCTGTTCAGAGGTTAATTTAATTTTGGTACCTAAGCACACTTGGTGGCTAGATTTTGGTGCTACTACTCCCATAAGTGTGTCCATGCAAGGTTGCCTGAATTGCCGAAAACTGAGTGATGGTGAAAGATACATCTTTGTAGGTAATGGCAAGGCATGCAATTGAAGTTGAAGCTATAGGCACTTTTAGGTTGTCATTAAAGACTGTATATCATTTGGATTTAAAAGAGACTTTTGTTGTGCCGTCTTTTAGGCGGAATTTGATTTTTGTTTCTACATTGGACAAATATGGTTATCTTTGTTCTTTTGGAAACAATAAAGTTAGTCTTTTTTATAATTCAAAGTTTGTTGGATCGGGTTCTTCATCTAGATTTGATAACCTATATTTGTTGGATATTATTGCTTCATCTAATGAAAGTTTGCATGTCAGTTCTAGTGGTACTAAAAGAAAATTAGCAAATGAGAATTCTTCATCACTTTGGCACAAACGTTTAGGGCATATTTCTAAACAAAGAATTCAAAGACTTATGTCAGATGGAATTCTTGATTCCCTTGATTTTCAGATTTTGATGTATGCATTATTTGTATCAAAGGGAAACAAACAAACATAAGGAAATTAGGAGCCGAATGAGCTTCAGATGTCTTAGAAGTAATACATACGGACATTTGTGGACCATTTCCTACAGCTTCTTGGAATGGTCAACAATACTTTATTACGTTCATAGACGATTATTCTCGTTATGGCTACCTATATTTGATTCATGAGAAATCCCAAGCATTGGACGTGTTCAAATCTTATAAAGCTGAAGCTGAAAATCAACTTGGGAAAACAATTAAGAAAGTCAGATTTGACCGTGGTGGTGAATACTATGGCAGAAATGACGAATCTGGTGAACAACGTCCAGGGCCATTTGCTAAATTCCTAGAGGAATGTGGAATCGTCCCTCAATACACCATGCCAGGATCACCTCACATGAATGGTGTAGCTGAGAGGTGCAATAAAACATTACAGGAGATGGTAAGGATTTTTAAGACCAAAAGGGATTCAAATGGCAATGTGATCATTTTGAAAAAAGGTGAAGACGTTTGGGACCTTAATTCATTGCTTGAAGGTGTGAAACCCATTGGTTGTAAATGGATTTTTAAGACCAAAAGGGATTCAAATGGCAATGTGATAAGGCAAAAGGCTCGTCTTGTCGCTGAGGGATATACTCAAAAGGAAGGCATTGATTATAAGGAGACTTCTTCACCTTTTTCTTAAAGACTCCTTTAGGATTATGATGACACTTGTAGCATATTATGATCTTGGGTTACATCAGATGGATGTTAAGACAGCATTTCTCAATGGTGACATTGAGGAAACCATCTATATGCAGTAGCTAGAAAACTTTGTTTCGGGAGATTCAAGGAAAATGGTTTGCAAATTAAAGAAATCCATCTATGAACTCAAACAAGCTTCTCGTCAATGGTATTTTAAGTTTCATCAAGTTGTTATGTCTCATGGTTTTGAGACAAATGCAGTTGATGATTATGTGTACCATAAGTTTAGTGGAAGTAAGCATATTTTCCTGGTTTTATATATTGATGACATATTGCTTGCTAGCAACGATATAGGCTATTTTCACGAAACCAAGAGATTTAATTTCTATCAAATCACATTGAGATGAAAGATCTTGGAGACGCCTCTTTTGTGTTAGGGATACAAATTCATCGAGATCGCCATCTAGGCACTCTTCGATTGTCACAAAAGGGCTATATCGAGAAAGTTTTGAAAAGGTTTGGCATGCAAGACTGTAAACCAAGTGATACCCCTGTGGCTAAGGGAGACAAATTCAATCTCACTCAATGCCCAAAGAATGACTTTGAGAATAAAGAAATGAAGAAGATCCCTTATGCATCAGCTGTAGGGAGCCTTATGTATGCTCAAGTAAGTACCCATCCAAATATTGCATACATTGTTGGAATGTTGGGCAGATATCTAAGCAATCTAGGGCTTGATCATTGGAAAGCTGTAAAGAGGGTCATGCGGTATTTGCAAAGAACAAAGGATTAAATGCTTGCTTACAAAAGGTCAGGTCAACTTGAGATCATTGGGTACACTGATTCTGACTTTGCTGGATGTCAAGATAGCCTGAAATCCGCATCTGGCTACATCTTTGTCATAGCTGGAGGAGCTGTCTCTTGGAAAAGTGTCAAATAGACACTTACAGCTACTTCCACCATGGAAGCAAAACTCATAGCTTGTTATGAGGCATCCAACCATGCATTATGGTTAAGGAATTTTGTTACAGGTCTACGCATAGTGAATGGTATTGATAGACCACTCAAATTGCTATGTGACAATAGGTCAGTAGTATTGTATGCCAACAATAACAAAAGCTTGACAAAATCAAAGCAAATTGATGTCAAGTTTAGAGTCGTGAAGGAAAGAGTGGGAGTAAACAATTGTCCTTAGAGCATATTAGCACAAACTCCATGATTACGGATCCGCTTACTAAGGGTTTACCACCCAAAGTATTTCATGAGCACATTGCTCGTATGGGAGTCATGCCACCTAAGTATATATAGTTTCAATGGGAGTTTGTTATTTTATTGCTTGTATGACATAAACATATTTTGAATATTATGGTTTTAAGTATTTCTGCATAAATAAAGTATTTAATTTGGTTTACTCTTCTATTAGATCATATTGTGATCTTATTGAAGTTTAAAGTGGACCAGTTGGAAATAGACATTTTGGATCACATTTATGTTATTTCCATGCTACACACCTATGCTTGATTAATGTCGTCGATTGTGTTACATTGTGGCCATTGACGGGTCTAGTTACTTTAATTGTAGCTTAGATTGCTTTGACTCTATGTTAATATAATTGATGGACCGAATTGTTTAAAGAAGTTTGGAAATGATAGTATTCAGTGCTCATAAAGTTTTAAAGTATAATGCAATTATCAAGAATCACAAACATGTAATTGTATTTGGTCCAAGTGGGAGATTGTAAGAAATTTATGGACCTAAATACAATAATGTATGTGGACTATACGGTTATGATTGTATTTACACGCTATCATATAGTTTAGCCTAAAATTAAAGTGATCCATTTAAGTAATTATTATTGTTGGGCTTGTTACGTCTTTTATAGAGTATGGGTTTAGTTCCATGTGTAGAGACCGTTGGACCTTTTCTAATGTATGATAGGCTGATTAGGGAAGGGGGTCTATATATCTATATAAATAGAGATCTAGGGTTATGATCCCTAGTAGTACATACAATAGATTCTCAATTATATCTCATCAATAGAGAGAAAACCCTAGAGTGTGTATTTACTAGAAGACGCATAATCAAGAAGGGGTTCGATAATTGTCATGGAATCAGGTACGCTTCCGCAATTAAGATTTACCGATTAATTTGATATAAAGATTAAAGTATATAGTAGGAATTAATCCCATATGAATTAATCCTAAGTCCTAACACTAATTAAATTCGAATCAATTTACTAATTGTGCCTCAAATAAATTGAAATGGATACCTTTGCACCTTGAAGACAACACTTTGTGAGTCATATTAGATGTGATAGTCGAGAAGGAGATGTAAAAAATAAGTCAAGTCGAGCTTGAGTCTGATCAATAAGTGCACAATGGCACATACGAAGGGTTAGTTAAAAAAAACAAAAAAAAAACCAAAACCTATTTTATAAAATTGTGAATACTTGCAATTTTTTTGGAAACCATAATACCATGTATCCATGTGATATGGTAAAGACTTATTTGGGATATACGTTGAAAAATTTTTTGAACTTTATAATTTTTTATACATTCATGATGTTTTGCAAAAGAGGTTCTTTATGAGAAGCTGAATCTTCTTCTTCAGAGCTATATGTCAATCTATTTTCAACTACTTCTTTTTCGGACTCCTCTTCTGCTTTTCCCTTCATCACCGTGTAAAATCCAATTGCTATAACTGTGCCTCCAATCAAACTACATACACCAATTAAGCAATACTTTTATTATTTATTCCGTAATTTATTTCAGTAAACAAACGAATTTGTACAACAATAAATAATTAAATACATTAAAAAAGGAAATACAAAAGTGTTTTAATCTCATGGTTAATTGTGAGGTACTATCCGACTATAGTACGTACTACTTGGAACTATATTTTGATGGGTTGACAACTAAAGTAAGTAAGTTGTATTTAATTGAATTAATTTGTTCAAATAAATGAATTTACTCCGTTCCTAAATTACGGTGTATTTTTTTAATACTTGATAATAAGCAATAATGTGTTTTGATTCACCTTAATTATTTTTTACTTGTTTGCACACAACTGAACTTATCTAGCAGTTATGTCCAGAGAGTTCTTTTGATTTGGCTTTATATCACAGCTATACTTGTTGACAATATTAATGAGGAAAAAAAATATGTAAATAATTTATTTTTTTGGGTATAAATATCCATACATTACTCTTAAGAGTTCTAAAAAAAGACACAATAACATTAATAAGGACAATAAAAATTTTAAAGGGTATACTTATCCAAACATTTATCATAAGAGTATTACTATTATTATTATTATTATTATTATTATTATTATTATTATTATTATTATCTCAAACTACTTAATAAATCCTTTATCATGATAGCTCTAATCAATTCTTTTAAAATGACGACTTTAAATTTGATTCAATATTACTAAGAGATATAAATAAAATTAATTGCTAATAAAATAACTTTAAGTACCTTCCAAGATGGAGAATGTCTCCAAGAAAAGATACTCCCATAACCACTGCAATTATCATTTGAAGTGGCTTAAACATTGCCACAAATAAGGGTCCCTTCTTTCCACAAGCCCAAGTCTGGACAGTATTTACCACACCAACTTCCAAAGCCTGGTAAAACAATATTTAGTAAATAAATTTTTAATGTCAACTACTCCGCAATAACTAGTAAGAAATTATCAACGGTAGAAATTATATTTTCTATGTTCGAAATTAATCATACAAAAGACTAAGTACTACATAGTTATATACAACTTTATTTTGATGGTAAAAATTATTGAACTTTGACTATATATAAAGAAGTCAAATACAAGTGTACACTATATATTATCATTAAATGCGATTTTGTGAAATACAATGTATGGAGTATTAAATAAGTTACCCCGAATAGAATAGCAATCCACACGATGTTAATACTCGGGGTCCAAACACTTGTATCATCTTCAGCTAGAAAGGTAACAATTGCTGCTACGATTGTTTCGAAGAAGAAGCTAATCAGTGTTATAAGTATCTCGGAGTGGAAGTCCCTTGCGATCCAAGTCTAGTAGATCAAAACAATATTATACACCATAATATTGCAATTGTAATGAATAAAACTCATAAGGATTCTTTTTGAAAAACTACCTTTTATATACAACTTTTTGTGAAAAACTACCTTTTAAAAAATTTGTTGTAAATGACTACCTCTTTAAAACCAAATGTTGTAAAAGACTACCTATTGCCGGAATCTCACCGTTGACTTTTTTTTCCGGCGTTGACTACCTCACGTGCCAGCAAGTGACCTTTAAAAACTTTTTTTTTTCTTTTTATTCTATGCACCACCAGCTATGCCACCTTCTTCACCACCGCCCCACCTCAACCCACCTCAAAACACCCCTACAGCCTCACGCATCCCAAAAACCAACACAACCCCATTGGAAACCGCCTCCACCCTGTCAAATCCAACACAAGCCCACACTCCTTCGCAATTCCGCGATCCTCGCAGCAGCACCTTCCCTTCCTCGTAGCAGCACACTCCCACGCCATCACCGCACCACCACCCTCCATCTCTACCTCTTGACGCCACCAACAAAAACACCAGCACACCCCACGCACCAAGCTGCAAGTAGCAGCCATACTAACCACCATCCAACCACGGTACACTAACAACAATAGCGCAGCAATCAAATTCAAAAATTAATTATTGCAAATACCAAACAATTGAACAAGGGGTTTGAACGAATTAAGCAAGGTAAACATGGATTTAAATAAAACTAACAACAATTGGAAGGAAATTCAACAGATTTTGCAGTAATGAGTTGCAAAGGGTAATTCTCTGGCTACACGTGAAAGGATTCTTTTGATGTATGTTGCCCTCCTTGGACATCTGATAAGGTATACTACCTTACGTAGCAGGACGCGAGGCAAGGCTTATCTGCTCGGGATAGACAGCTTTTTACCCTAGCGCCTTGTGAAAAGGTTGGTGCCCGGAAAAATACAAGCGTGTAAACGCGTTGCTCCGGGGTGAGTAATTGGGAAAAATTAGGGTTTTAGGCTTACAAAGGGGCTAATCGGGAAATTTGGGGGAAAAATGGGTGGGAAAAGGGTAAATTAAAGGTCACGTGACGTAGTCAACGTCGGGGAAAAAAGTCAACGGTGAGATTCCGGCAACAGGTAGTCTTTTACAATATTTGGTTTTAAAGTAGTCATTTATAACAAATTTTTTAAAAGGTAAAAGTTGTATATAAAAGCCTAAAAGGTAGTTTTTCGCAAAAAAATCCAACTCATAAATTATGTTGGAAACATGTAGAGAATGGAAATTTGCATAGATTAGTTAGTGTAGGATGGATAAAAACATAGCCTTCCTTGTAGATAACTCTTGAATAAAAATCACTCCATGTATGGAGTTTGTTTCAATTGAACAAACTCAACAACATTCGAGAATCGTGATGCAAAAGGCTACTTTCTAACACAAAAACAGCTAAGTTTAACAACCATATACTTCTTTAGTGTGAAGTAAATAAATATCCCACATTGAGAAATACATAAGTATGTGACTAGTGTATATATACTGGAGTTGTATGTGGGATATTTTCCCCCTTTTCTCAGGAACATTAAGCATTTTCAAGCACATATCACACATGCACTGATGTACTTCATACTTTTGGTGTAGTTTTATTTTTTTTTTTATTTTTTTTTTCTTTCAATGTAGGAAGTATTTGGCTTAGGAATCCGATACAGAGTGATATACAAAGTATATTACTTTTTCGTTTTTGAACAAAAAGTATGTTCTTTTTTCTTTTTCTTTTTCTTTTTTTTTTTTTCTGTTTTTAAATAATGTGTATGTGATGTAAATGTTGTAGTAACACGAATAAAAAGTGTGAGATAACATAACAAGGATAAATAAATGTTACCCCGTCTTGAAATTAAGTGCCCGTTTCTTATTTTTCACGGCTTTCAATGCAAATAGATAAATCAATTAGATTCCGTAAATTGTCAAGTACGGTACAATAAAGTGAATGAGTGGGTGTGAGAATTTATAACAAGTGGATGAAATCATGGGAGAAATTGTGAATTTAATATTGGAAATGAGGGTAAAAGTGTCTTAAAAAAGTAAGTTATTTTTTTATTATTTTTTTTTACTACGCAATAGACATTTAATTTTAAGGAAAAAAGCTATATGCACCCCTTAGGACTGCATATAAGAAACTAAAACTGGAAAGAATAGATATTGAAGTAATATTTATTACACCGATTTACTCGTAAATTGTCGATAAATTCCCAACTTAATACTAAAAAAGGAACTATATTAGGGCTTCTTATAGCATTACCCAATTTTAACACACTAGAAAAAGAAAACAAACTCTTAGGCCCTGTTCACATCACCTTAAAATAAAAAATATCCAGTAAAAATAATTTCAGTTCAGTAAAAATAAGTTCAGTTTAAACAAAAATAATTTTAGTACAGTAAAAATAATTTCAGTTTAGTAAAAATCAGTAAACTTAAAGAATAAATATAATAGAAAATCGGTAAAAAAAATAATTTTAGTTCAGCAAAAATAATTTCAATTCAGTAAAATTAATTTCAGTTCAGTAATAATAATTTAAGTTCAGTAAAAATAATTTCAATTCAGCAAAAATAAGGTGAAGTGAACGGGGCCTTAATTTCAATGCAGAGAGAGTAATAAATAAAGATGGAGTATATACAACTTCCTAAAATACAAATAGCATAGCTAAAAAAAAACTAGAGGGAGTAGAACCTTACCTTGGTGACATAGGTGAGTGATAGAAATATGCTACTACCAAAAAGGTAAAGTCCACCAAGGGCCCAATTGGGTTGAGTTTCATTTGCATTAAGAAGAGAATGAAGAGAGAATTGGGTTGGAGAAGAAGAAAATATATTAATGGGCATTCCTTGGTACAAAGTCACTATGAACGCACCACCAATTGACACTAACGTTCCCAAAGATTTGAGTAGGCTACTTTGAGCTCTCAAGTTTAATACCTCCATCCTAAAAGGGTCGTTTTCAAAATTAATTTAATAAATTAATTGACTAAATAATATGAATTATTTTCTATCAAATATAGATATTACCTGAAAATTATGCCCATTATGAAAGTGAAAGCGGGAGAAAGATTATTCATTGCTGATGCAAGAGTTGGTGAGCTGTAACGTATTCCAATAAACAAGAATATGGAACAACCACAACTGCATGACAAATTATTGAAACAAAATAAGCAAAATAATAAATAAATAAATAAATGAATAAATGAGTCTATTTATGAAATTTTAATATTTTTTCTAGCAATATTTTTTATGAAAGAAAACACATTTTGAATAGTTTTTCGATTTACTTATAATTACTCTGTATTATTTTCAAACATTTTATTAGACAATGGACTCTAATTATTTAACGTTATATACCTCAAGTTTGGGTAATTGTACTTTAGGTATATATGAATTTCAAAAATTGTGTGGAATTATGTCAAAGCTCAGACTCTCAAAGTGAAAATGTTCTTGTTGAATAACATACAGTGTAAATTTGTGAAAATGACAATCAATTAAAGGGTTTTATTTAGTAACATACATACATGTACTCTGTATAAGTTGAGAAAAAAGAAATGAAAGTTCAAAGCAATATATATTTTTTTAAGAAAAGTAAAAGGTAACGTTTAGACGAAGTATATGAATAATGAAAAAAAATCACACAAATTCTATGTAGTTGAATAATTGCAAAAGAAATAATTAAATAAAGAAAATAAGGTAAGTACCTAGTATTTTTTTGTTTATTTAACAAAAAATATTTGATCAAACAGTCTACTACCTTAACAAATTTCCAATAATGTTTTTGTTGATAAGAAAGGTTGTTATGATTGTGAGTTTGTCACTTGTTAGGTGTTGTGAAAACAAAAGGATAAATTGCGAGAAGTCATGTGCCCAGTACGTGAGTTTATTTTGGCCGGAAAATGGGAGTCAACGCCGGAGTTTTGGTCAATGGACCCTCCTCACAACCCAAATGTCTTAAAAGGACCTTTGACACCACCTTTTTCATAAAAGGACCTTCCTCACAAGGTCGTCTCCTTAAAAGGACCTTCCTCGTAATATTCCAAAACAAAATGATACCCAACTTTGACACCTTGATGGTAACTTTGACTATCTGAGTGTTTGAGCTAATAAGGAGTAAGATACTTTGTACTTCATTTACCAAAATAAGTATATAAGAACTTTCGTTTGAATACTTCAAAGTAAAGAAGGATCGATTGAAAGGGATGTTTTTATTTGGACAATTTCAACTTTCAACAATAACTTTAGTTAAGTTGTGTCAATTAATTGCATGATTACTGTTTTGAATTGTTTTAATTTGGTGGCATTTTATTAATTATATTATTTTACATGAGATCATTTTATAATTACTTATTGTAAAGTTGAACCTTTTGCTTTTAAGGTAACTTTTCTAATAAACCTTGTAACGTCTCAAAAGTCACAAGTTAACTATTGATGTAGTCCATGTAGAATAATGTGATCCAAACCTCTCCATTTATTCAGACAATATAAAACAAAGCTATCAAAAAACAAAGCTAATTAATCCCTTAAAAAAAAGCTATAGCTAATCACAAGATTAGAAACTATCAAAAAAAAAAAAAAAAAAAAAAAAAACAAGATTTTTACACGCATATTTAAGTACATATAGCTAAGAGAGGGTGAGATGAGAAAGATACCAAAGGACACCAAGTAGGAAGAGCCGGAAGATCATAGCAACACTGATGTGTGGAGATGGAGTTTTCCTGTCCAAATTAATCCAATTTAGCATAAAGTTTCATACACAAGTAAATAAGTAATACTCCGATACCTTCGTTCGGAATTAATTGTCATAGACTTAGCTCACAGGTCAATACTATTATTTAAAATAAGCTATGTGACAACTAAATTTGGCATGGAGGACATCTGAATGATATGGTAACCTCAACGATAATAATTAAGATTGGAGGAATTGATTACCTGTGGAAAAGGAAGGAAAGGGGAATAAGGAAGAAGAAAGCTATGCCATGAGTATAAGTAGTGAAGATAGAGCTGCTCATTCCTTTAGCCATGGCTGCTTTACTCAACGTATTGCAACCCACATCCATTAATTCCATAGTTAACAGAATTATCACCATCTTTATTTCCCACATTCTTCTTCTTCTTTTTCTTGAAAGAAATTACCTTTCTTTCTTGAACCACACAAGTGAAGAGATTTTATATTAATGAAGAACGTGCCACAAAGTCTTTGGAATGAATAGTCCTTTTTAAGGCTGGCTTTGGAATTAGTCTTGGCTAATCCTTATTCCTCAAAGATACTATGTACTGTTTATGTCAATGTAAAAAATTGTTTTTCCTGTCCAAAAGAGTTTTTTTTTTTTTTTTTTTTTTTTTGGCCTTTTTAAGAGACAATTACCATTCATAAATATAAGAACTTTTTACACATGAATAAAATGAATAGTTGTTGTAATAGTATATTTCTTTCATTCATTACCACACATGAAAGATATAATTTAATTGATTATTTAATGTTGCATAATATCTACCATCAACATCAACTGCAATCAAACACATCAACAACGTCATACCCCTGTAGTGTGTGGCGGAGAAAAATCCCTAGCCGTTTTCTCTCTAATTTTTCTCTTTAGGATTCTCTAAAAAAAAGTGTTTTATAGGTCGAAAATAGTCAAATTTTTCCGAAAATTTGGCTATTTTCGACCTTTTCCCTTTAATTTCTTTATTTTTTTGTTATTGAATTCAATAAATCTACATTTTTTGAAGGTAGTAAGTACCCCGATAGTGGATTTGAGTGTAGTAAGTGCCCCTATGATGACCTTTGTTCTAGTTTTGTTTTTGTTTTTTGAGTTTAGTATGGTACAAGTTGTTTAATGGGTAAAGATTTGTGCGGGATTGAAAAAGAGGTTAATCATTCTGATTAGGGGATTTTTATCCACCAATCACCGTCTGACAAGTGGACCAACCAGGTTCCGCCACGTGTCCTTCACGTAGGCCAATAGGATCCTGCCACGTGTCAATCACAGATACGTCCTCTACGGACCAATTGAGACACGCCACGTGTCCACCCATGCCAAATGGGAAAACCGGCCAACAAGGCCCAATCCTGTTTAGAGGCCCAGTTAGCCCTAGGTTTACCCTAAACCTAGAGAGTGGCACGCTTCCCGAGGTTATAAATACCCCTCTTAATCCTCATTAAGAGGGAGAGGACTCGAAAACAACACACGGATTCAGCAATTAATGACTCTCACCTAGAGAAAACCAAAATACATTGATCACTCCTCCCCTAGAGGAACCAGATCTCCTCCCTTTACTTTCCGCACTTATTACTCCTTAATCAGGTACTAACTTGACCGTTGGAGGCGGAGCTCCTACCACAAGGAGTCTTCGTTGTTTTGCAGGTACAGGCGTCCGGTTCCAGTCTCGGAATTGTAACTCTCCCGCAGGACATCAGAAAACCCCGAAACATTTTGGCGCCGTCTGTGGGGAGAGTACTTCTGAGATGGCATCCAAGTCTGTACCGACTCCTGAAGAGAGGCGTCCCCTAGACGACCCTCAAGTTCAGTCGGACCATGATACTGACAATGAACTGGAAGTTGAAGCTCACACAGCTCCAGACGGGACCCTAAGGGCCCGACGTACCCGTCAGACCGAAAGGAGGGAACGGGAACATTTTCAAACTGTAAGCGAGCCAACAGGCGCACCGTCTGTTCGGCAGCAGGCGACTGATGGGTCTGCTCCCATCACAAGGAACGAACTCATGACCTTCATGAGGGACTTCAAGGGAGAAATTCAAGAGTTGCTTAATAAGAAGCCTGTTCCGGCCAAGGAACAGTCGGCTAAGAAACCTTCCACCTCAGGCAAGAGGAAGTCGGTTCAAGGGCGAGAGGGAACTCCTCATCCTAAATCCAGGAAGTGGGAGCCGCCTGCCCTTGACCTCACAAAATACCGTTTTCCTACTCCAGGAAATAGGAAACCTGTTCGTCACATTCAGGCGGACGGGTCGAAGAAAACATACACAGACGCTCGTCTGCTGTTAGAACAGAAGAAGAGTGACCGACTTCCAGAGTCGGCCTCTACTTCAAATTTTCAAGAAAGTCTGCGAAATACCTCGATGAGGCATACCCAGTCGTATCATGAGAGTCAGTCAGGCGGCACCTCCCGTCAGTTAGGCTTTCATAGCGACCAGGCGGTACCAAACTTACCGTTTGTACCACAGCAACAGTATTTTATGCAGCCACCTCCGTTTGGTGGACACGCAGCTAAAAATGTCCAACCTTTGGACTGACAGCTACGGTTGCTTAGACTTGGTGAACAGCCGTCGGCCTTCTCCAAGGAAATCACTGAAGCCGCTCAGCCGACCAAAGTGAAAAATGTGTTAGTAGGCGCCTATGATGGCACTACTAACCCAGAAGATCATCTGATGGCATTCTCCAACCTAATGTACCTTCAAGGGTTGGATGATCCCACTTGGTGCAAGTGTTTTCCAGCGACTCTCAAAGGAATTGCACAGCAATGGTTCGGCAACCTGCCGACTGGTTGTGTAAACAACTTCAGGACGCTTGCTTACTTGTTCACCTCCAACTTCGCCATGAACATTCCTGCGAAGAAGACGACCCTTGATTTGGGAACAATTCAGCAGGGTGAGAAGGAGGGGCTTCAATCCTACATCAGGCGGTTTAACCTGATGAGAATACAGATTCAAGGGTTACCGGATGAGGTAGCTTATACTGACTTTTTCAGGGGTCTCAAAGACGGGTCGACCTTCAAATTTGATCTGGTTCGAAAGAGGGTGGCGACTCTTCGGGAGGCCTTGATTGAAGCGGAAGCCTATATACAGGCAACTGATCTTTGTAGTACAGTGAAACAGTCGGACGGGAAAAAGTTCGACAAAAAAGAAGGACGACAGATACAGTCGTCAAACAAGGAAAAGAAGAGAAAAGAGGTATGGGCGGCTGATTCCTCTAAACAGCCGGCCCAGAAGAAGAAAAAAGAATTCAAACCATACTCCCCAAAGTATGCGTTTAGCAAGGATAGCCAAACTATCCTAAACGAAATCAAGGGACGGATCTCTATTGAGAAGCCGGTCCCCATGAAGGGTTTCGCAAGCAACCGGAACCAAGATAAATTCTGTGATTATCATGAAGATGTTGGTCATCACACCAACGAATGCATCAGTCTCATGCGGTATCTAGACCGCCTGGCTGAGCAAGGTGATCTTGACTCTTTTGTCAAGAAATCCACGGGGAACACTTCCTCGAAAAAACAGTCGGCCAAAAAGAATCAACAGGCCGACAGCTCTGATACAGATGATGCAGTCGTCTACACTATTGCAGGCGGCTTCGCAGGAGGAGGTCCCACTATTAGGGGCAACAAAGACAATATCAGGCGGCTAGATGTCAATTCTGTTCACCCAGAACGGCCCTCCAAAAATTCATTTCCTGAGATTGTCATTACTGAAGAAGATCTAGGAGGGGTCAGGGGGCCGCATGACGACCCTATCGTCATTGAATGTAAAGTGGCCAATCAGAGAGTTGGCCGAATCCTCATAGATACCGGAAGCTCCTCAGATCTTATCAGTAGCAAATGTCTGTCAAAATTGAAGTACAAAACTGATTATATACATCCGGCCTCCCACCCTTTAGTAGGGTTTGGAGGAGGAGTCGTCCACCCAGTGGGACGAGTGGATTTACCCATCCGCCTGGGTGAAAAAGGGGAAGGACGACACATGGTAGTCCGGTTCCTGGTGGTAGAAGAACTCTCGGCCTACAACATGATTCTGGGACGACCAACCCTAAATAATTCCAAGGCTGTAATAATCCCATCTCTTATGTTGCTCAAGTTTGAGAGGGACAATGGAACAGTCGGCTCCCTAAGGGGAGATCAGAGGATGGCACGAGAATGCTATCTCTCGGATGTCAAGCCCACTGTTATGGCCGCTGGGTCCAGTGGAGGAAAGATTGACAATGTCAAGGATAATGCGCCTGTTCAAGAAGCAGGCGGCAAAAAAAGAAAGGCATCCCAGATGGGGGCCGCAAGAAAAGATAAAAAATAGCAATCATTGGCAGAGGAGCGGTCGGATGAATTCCGCCCTCAGCCGGCTGGTGAGCATACGGACCTAATCTTAGATGTCTCGCGTCCTGACAGAACCGTCAAAGTTGGGACGACTGCTCTAGGGGTCCTAGGTGATGACTTTCACAATCTGTTGAAAGAATACAAGGACATCTTTGCATTCGAAGTCCATGAAATGCCAGGCATTAGTCCTGAGCTGGCGGTACATAAACTGTCTGTGGATCCAAAAAAGAAGCCGGTAAGGCAGAAGAAGCGGAACCATGGCGAAGAAAGAAGTCAGGCGGCAGCCGTCGAAGTTAAAAAATTACTTAATGCAGGATTCATTCGGCAATGTTACTTCCCAGACTGGGTTGCAAATGTTGTGCTTGTTAAAAAGCCGAATGGTACCTGGCGAATGTGTGTAGACTACACAGACTTGAATAACGCGTGCCCAAAAGACAGTTACCCTCTGCCTAAAATTGACAACCTGGTCGACTCAACAGCCGGCCATGCTTTGATGAGTTTTATGGACGCCTACTCTGGTTTCCATCAAATACCTTTATGGAAGAAGGATCAGGAGAAGACGGCCTTCGTCACTGATCAAGGGTTATACTGTTACACGGTCATGCCGTTTGGTCTTAAGAATGCCCCGGCCACCTTCCAACGAATGATAAACACTGTGTTCTTTGATCAGATTGGGAGAAACGTCGAGGCATATATTGATGATATGATTGTCAAGTCTAAACTTCAGACAGATCATCTGTCGGACCTCCGAGAAACTTTCGCCACACTCAGGCGGCACCATGTCATGCTCAATCCCAAGAAATGTGTCTTTGGAGTTGAGTCTGGGAAATTTCTCGGATTTCTCATTAATCAGAGAGGAATAGAGGCGAACCCTGAGAAGGTGCAGGCGGTCATTAACATGCAGTCGCCCCGTACCGTCCGAGAGGTTCAGAAGTTAACAGGTTGTCTGGCGGCCTTGGGAAGATTTCTAAGTCGATCAGGCGACAAATGCCTATACTTTTTCCAGGCAATTAAGAAAAAGGCAAGGTTTGAATGGGGGCCAGATGCTGAGGCGGCCTTCCAAAAATTGAAAGTTCATTTGCATTCCTTGCCGAGGCTAGTCAGCCCTTTGCCCAAAGAAGTACTTTACATGTATCTGGCCGTCTCTGATCATGCGTTAAGCGCTGTTCTTCTTGCTGAAAGAGACGGCTGTCAGCTCCCGGTCTACTTTGTCAGCCATGTGCTGAAAAATGCCGAGTTGAGGTATCCCTTAGTGGAGAAGTTTGGCCTTGCACTCTTCATGGTTGTTAAAAAATTAAAGCCCTACTTTTTGGCGCATGCAGTCGTCGTGTTTACAGATCAACCGATCAAGCGGCCACTGACCACCATGGAGTTGTCAGGCCGAATGATCAAATGGGCCATAGAAATACAGAGCCTCG